CTCAGGACAGGCCTCCTACAACAAATTATCTGGGCCAAAATGTCAATTAATGGTAAATTTGAGAAACTCTACATCAGGTTAAGATAATTTGGATATTGAATGTAGGTGTCCCCAGAAAGTGATCACTTGCTCTTAACCATCTCCTGGCTCATGATCAGGGTACGAAATTATATAGTCTTATTTTGAAAATTTAAACTTCTAGACTGACCATTTCTGGGCATGGGCACATTTTTTTCTCCAGGTCAACCTGACTGGTACATCTGTGGGTAGAAGCCTGGCAAAAATAGGACTCATGAGATCCACATTCCATTCTGGCTACCTTTTATAAAGATATCATTGTCCCTCTTGTACCTGATCGTTCTAGATGAAAGATTTGAGTGAGTGTAGAGTATGATTAGAAAAAAAAAAGATCAAAGTCATAGTTACTGGAAAGGTAATCTCAGGTATTGCCAAGGTAGATAAAGAACAACAACTTAGCATCTAGGGTTGTCAGGGAAAGGCGGGGCATTAATGACCTTTGTGTATTAGAACTCCCTCTGGAGACTCCTTCCATTCTAGTGCAGCTCCCCCAAATTCCACCAACTTAACTGACTGCTGGGTTGGCCACTCTTAGCCATACAGGTCTAACCACCATTCCCTTTTACCTTATGAAGAGGTCTATCAGAAACAGTGGGGGATGATCCCAGTTTCTGTACCTGCATGCATGTGTGTGCATGCACACGCTCACTTCAGGATGTCACCCTCACTCCCAATCTCAATCATTTCATGGAGCAGACTAATGTCATGCTCTCCAGCTGCTAGTATAGACAAACAAGCAGATTTAATTGACTCCACTTTAGCAAACTTTCCAAAATAAGCGCTATGCTCAATTATTTTAACTGAACTGGGAAGCTTAATGCTTACTTGTTTGCATTCTCAACTTGCTCTCCTAACTGATGTAGGTACCACATGCTTGGAGTAAGCTTACCAATCAAAAAATTTTCTTTTTAAGGGCATCATTTGTACTCTTGAAATTGTACTTGGGTAGGAGCCAGGCATTAACATATCTCTCTCCCCCAAATACTGTGACTTGTACCTTAAAAGTGGTAGACTTTCAGTACCTTAAATCCTCCAACACCCTAAAGAAAAAGGCTTAACTCTGAGGCAGCAACATCCATATCAAGGCCCTCAGCTTTGTCTGTTATTTCAATTGCTTTAGGGAAAGGATATTTGGTCTGTTATCCAGGAATATATTCTAGTTGACTGCTCTGCCTGCTGGGGTGAGGCACAGGGAGAATAAGGCTTATTGACTCTTGTCACTTTTACAAATCTCCAATTCCCTCTCCACCTCCCTTCCTACTCCTCTCATTTCAATTTCATTCTTTACTTTTGTCATCTCTTATTCCTTGGTTAATATGCTAGACATCACTCCGCCCAAGTGTCTTCATTGTTTATACAAGGGTTTTTCTTTCTACTTTTGTTTTTCATTTTAGTTGTGTCTCAGCAGGGCACAATGCATACACAGACTTACCCGCCAACCAGAACTGAACTCATCAATTTTTAACTTATGATGTTTCTGTCAATTTGATCCAGAATCTAAGATTATTAATTTATGAGCATAACTTGTGATATAAGTGGTTATAGCTGGCTTTATCCCTCATCTTCTTAGGAATGATTATGCTGCTGCTACTGCTGATTATGAGCTTTAAAAGCTATTTCTTGAGTACTAAACTTGTACTGGGTAATTTAAATATAGTTTCTAATTTTTAAGAAAAGTTGGAGAAATTGTGAGTAGAGGAGAAAATAATTGTCTACAGTCATGGAACTGATGTCAGAGCCTGTATTATCATCAAGGGCTGTCTAAATATGAGGCTTTTGCTTTATCTGTTATATTGCCCTCTCCTTTTTGGTGTGTTTAGAAAGCCATGAAACCATTAAAATTACCAGAAGTAATGAGTTTAAAGCCAAAACTTTGATAAGTCCAAAGTACCTCTCCAAACATGCTCACCGAGATTTTATGGTAAATACAGGGCCATTCCAAGCTGTTTCTTCTTTTCACGTAATGAATAATTTACTTAAAGGTCTTTTTGAAATTATTTCTAAAAAACTTAAAGATGACATTAAACATTTTTGACATGGTATCTTCTCACTCATCACATCTAAACAGAATGAACATTTTTCACTCAGTGTGCAGCCAGTAAGGATTGCTCTTCTGTTTTGTTGCCCTTTTAAATGTTCCCCTAATAGTAGGTTATGCCATCTAATGGGCAATTTGCTTTTGCACCATTTTGCTTGTCATGCTGGTTTCCCTAAAATTAAGCGGCTGAGACTAGAAAAGGGCTCATAGAGGTTACACAGCTTAATAGAATGACTGTCCTTTTTTTTTGCTATTGTTTAACTTCCCATTAAGCTATGTCTTCATCTTTCCTTAAAAACTCACTGGGGGAAATACAGCAAACACTGCTCTTTTTTTCTCTTACAGTGTCCATTTTTAAAAATGGTAGACTAAAACTAGCTAATAGGAAAAGAATAAACAGAAATAACACCATAACAGAAAATTTTCTTCTCTGTCTAGTTATAAATAGTTACTCTATTAAGGAACTTGAGCTACCTCCAGCACAATAGTTAAATATATTTTTCTCAAAACAAAACTCTGTCAATATGTGTTTCATGGATAACCATCCCCTTGACAGTTTAGCCAGAAGAAAACATGAAATAATTTTCTAACAAACTGCCTATTCTGACGTACAATCACAACATGAATAACCCTATTACAACATTTAATTTAGCTAGCATGGCTTGAGAAGTGTGAAAATGCTGTTTCCCTACTTTGTTGTATCCTCTGCAATACATAATTATATCTCCTCAGGTCATGTCCACACTTTAGTAGACTTTAGTAGATTTGATAAAATTATTGTTTGTCATTTAAGGAATTTAATCTCTGTAGTTTTACCACAACAGTCTCTTAGTTTTGCAACTGTGTCTCTGTTGGCACAATATTAAATTTCATATGGTCTTTTTTATTCTTGGAATTACAGGGTCAATTTTAATTTCTCAATTTTATATGTTAGCATAAATGTTACATGGTACAAAACAATCATAGTGGTATTTTTAAAATACAAAATAAATATGTTTTATGGAAATTATACTTCCTAACTACACAGACAGCTCATCTCATTCAAACAACAGCCCAAATTAACATTAACTCTAAATCTTCAAAGCAGTTGAAACCGCTTTTCAGTTTACGCGATTCTGGAGAAAATAGACCCAGTTAAATTGCCCTTGTAAAAATAAAACCTCTCTGTGCGATAACTTATTTTTAGAAATTCATTTGCATACACTAATAAAGCACTTTTCATATTACACACTTGTTCGTAGAAAAAAACTTTACATGCTGTGTGCTGACTTTGACACTTAAATAACTTTTTCTTGGTCCAAAATGGATTCTAGATATCGAGTGCCACTTCATTCAGCATTATTTTTCTGTATGTTAGTGTCTGTTAATTAAATTTAAAAACTTACTTGTACTTTTGGAAGAAGGACAAACCTTGTTAATGAATCACAAAATGACTTCAACTGTCACAATCCAGTTTCTTGAAAGCACTTGTTCTACTCACTCCCCAGGCCTAGAAGAAATTTTGAGAATACTACTGGACTGATTCTTAGTATTTCTTATCTTAAAAAAAAAACTTATATTAACAACTGTGTAGACACAGGAATACCATGTGACCACAGAGGAAAACGATTGGAGTAACACAGCCAGAAGTCAAAGAACTTTAGGAATCCGTGGCTCTTGGCACAGTGGCTCACACTTGTAATCTCAGCAATTTGGGAGGCAGAGAGAGGCAAGAGGACTGCCTGAGTCCAAGGGTTTAAGACCAGCCTGGACAATTTGGCAAGATCTCATCTTTACAATAAATAAAAAATTGGCTGGGCATGGTGGAATATGCCTGTAGATCCAGCTACTTGGAAGGCTCAGGCAGAAGGATCACCTGAGCCCAGCAGGTCGAGGCTGCAGTGGTGGTGAGCATGCCACTGTGGTTCAGCCTGGGTGACACAGAGAGACTCCAATTAAAAAACAAACAAGCCGGGCTCGGTGGCTCAGCCTGTAATCCCGCACCTTTGGGAGGCTGAGGTGAGTGGATTACTTGAGCCTGTGGGTTCGAGACCCACCTGGGCAGCGAGACCTCATCTCTACAATAAATAAAAAAATCAGCCGGGTGTGATAGCACATGCCTGTAGAGCGGCCACTGCACTCCAGTCTGGGCAACAGAGTGAGACTCCAACTCAAAAAAAAAACAAAACAAAACAAAAACCAACCAAACAAAAACCAAACAAACAATCTATGGCCACCCCTGGAAGCTTGGAAGAGGTGGAGGATAGCCCTTCTGACACCTTGATTTTGGGTTTCTAGACTCCAGAACTGTGAGAAAAGAAATTTCTGGTTTTTTTAATAAAACAACAACAGCAAAGAAACTCCACAACTGCACATTTTGAAACAAGCTGGTTTTAATTAATGAAAATACATTCTGAAAGCTACCTCCCTCCAATTACCCATAAGGTGAATTTTTGTTACATCTTTACAGAAATTTCTGAACAATCTTTTTTTATAGTTAACTTTTCATATAAACATAAACGTTTCTTTTAAAAAGGCAGTTGAAGGAAAGAATGCCATGGCTAAAACCATTATATAAGTAATGTTGTAGACTTTGCATGTAAACTATTACATTTGTTTCTAATATGAATTCCTGGAACAAAACTACATAAATATTATCTTATCAACCTGTTCCTCCCCCACAAACCATCCCCTAAACCAAAGACTTTCTTGATAAGAAGTTATCACTTAGGTGCTGGTTGCTATTTCTTAAAAAGATTATTCGTTTTTTTTCTTTTTTCAGACTTATACCCTCTTAAAGGGTCATGTTTACTATTCATTAAGTTCATGTAAAACCAGATTTTCAGCTCACTGACACTTATAGAGTTTTAGTTAAACCACACATTGAGAGTTTGCCATAAAGATTTTATAAGCTAAGATGACGTCTCTTCTTGGGAGGTAGTTCATTTTCTTCTTTTTTCCCTTCATCATGTGAATGATCCACAAAATCACCCACATTACTATTGCTTGGGCTACTTGTTTCATTAGCAGCACCAGCAGAATAAGATGAAGAAAATCTGAAGCCACCAGTAGATGTTATATCAGGAAGGTCTATCTTGTCTTCCTCTTCTTTTGTTCTTTCAGGAAGGTCTATCTTTTCTTCCTCTTCTTTTGTATTTTCAGGAAGGTCTATCTCGTCCTCCTTTTCTTCTGTTCTTTCAGGAAGGTCTATTTCATCTTTCTTTTCTTTTGTTCTTTCAGAAAGGTCTATCTTGTTTTCATTTTCTTTTGTTCTTTCAGACTCCATACATGTATCATAATCTGGAAAGTCATTTTCCAATGGTGGCATATCTGCTTCTCCTGTACTTTCCTCAAAAAAGATTTCTTCCTTTGCCTCCAAGTCTTTGGCATCTTTGCAAAGTATTTTCTCATGAGGCACAGAATGTAAACTCTTTCGTATTTGACTTTGTCTCTCTCTCTTTTTCTCTTTTTCGTATTTAATCTTCAATCCTTTGAATGTCTGGACATACTCAATCGATTCAAGTATTTTATAAAACTTTTCAACTGTATGTGCCACAAGAGACTTGATATTTTCCACTCTTATATATTCAAACAGCTCAATAATAGCTGAATTCAGCATATTGTACCGAGTCCCATTATTCAGAAGAGCATTTACAACTGGCTCAAAAAAATTTCCCTTGATGATGTAACGATTATAATGTTCATCTTTACGGCCAATCATCTTTCTCATAAAGCGAAGAGCACACAAGATCAGGTAAGTGTGCTTTGAATTCATCAAGAGCAAGACTTTTCTTAGCAAATCTTTGTTTAAAATATAGTATTTTATGTAATATGTGTGATGTTGTATACAAAATGTAAGTAGCTCTAAAATTAAAGCAAGCAGCTGTGCTGTTTGATTATTATTGAGGCAATTTCTGTTTTTGTCATATCCAACTATACTATCCTTTGCACATTTGTCTTCTGAAGTGGTGGCCAAAAGTGGTGCTATAAAGTTATTCATACAACGTTTATAGAAGAAATTTAGAAATCCACTTCTTTCACATTTATTAGGTGTTACCAGCATATTGCTTGGATCAAGCAGAGCGCGAAGAAGTCCCATCAAATGAACAGCACCTCCTAGCTCAGGATCAGTATCACAAATCATTTGTTCAATTACTATATTAATGAAAAGGTCACCATCTTTGCTCTCCTCTTTCATTACAAATTCGCGGATCGTGGATGGACTGTACTCCACTAGATAAGCAAATATATCTGTAGCAGCTGACCTTATTTGCAAATCACCTATGCTCATTACAATTTTAAGAGTAGGAAGAATTCCCAATTTTGTCAATGTTTTTAATAGTGCATCCTTGTTTTGAGGCTGTAAGGTCTGAGAAAATGCACAGAATTCCTTGAAAAAAACCAGCAATTCATGTCGTTTATCATCATCTGTAGTCTTATTCTGTAACTGTGCAAAAAGTTCAGACATAATTTTGTCATCTTTCTGTAGCATGGTAACAATCTCAACCTTATTGAAGAAAATAAACATTGTAAGTGTGGAAAGAATATTCTCTTCAAATATAGATGGTGTAGGCAAAAGTATATCATAAATGTACTGTACTTTGTATGTCTGATGTATTTTTTGCCTAAGTTCAGAGTCTGTTATTGGTATAACCTCCTTGAACTTTGCATTTTGGGTCAAGAATTCCCTATGCTTTTTTGGCTGAGCCAAAGCAGGGTCGTATTCAAGGCATCCCACCACATCCATGATACACTCATCAGAGAACATCATCTCAAACAGAGATGTCTTGTTGAGAAATAAGATTCCTTTAATAATGTCATGCAAATGGCATAAACCTTCAATGTTCTCTAGGTTTTCACAAGTGTGGAACAGCTGCAGTAGTTTTTTAATATAATCCTCATTTTCCAATATCAGAGCCAGCCTTTCCCTCCGGATAGGTGACTCGAGAACTGAAGTGACTAAATCAGCAATTTGTTTTAGTGTACTGAGTTCACAGTTAGGCAGCTCAACCAGATTACTGATTTCTGGCATCTCATCAAATTGATCTTCTTCTGATTCATGCAAGAGGTCCTGTGTGATTGCGGCAAGTGGGTCTTTACCTTGAATGCGGCAAATGTCCTCCCAGATGTCCTGACAACCCGCTCTTTCCTGGAAATTCAGTGCGATGCCATGGTATTCGGCTTCAGACCACATAATTAACTCCGCTTGTGGTTTCTTATAAACCGTTTCTGGATCTATTCTAGACAACAAGAGCAGTGAGTCATCTGACTCTGACTGAACAAGCAGAGACATGGTCTGGTGCTCCTCAGAGTAACTTAATGAGATCTGCCCAGTGCCGATATTGTCCCATAGCTCGTCATTACCCTGCAAATAGACTTTCACACGGTACCGCTCGTCCGCCATGACTACCCCCGGCCACACGACGCCACTTCCTGTCTCAGTGTGGGTTTCCGCTTTGTGTTTCGTCGCTGACGGTAGGTGCCGCTGCAGTTGAGGTGACGGTGGCCGAGGTGGCAGTTCGGGGGGGGGGAAGTCACAATAGAAAATGGCAGACCAGCCGGGCTAGGTGGCTCAGCCTGTAATCCCGCCCTTTGGGAGGATGAGGTGAGTGGACTGCCTGAGCCCGCGGGTTCGAGACCCGCCTGGGCAGCAAGACCTCATCTCTACAATAAATCAAAAATCAACCGGGCGTGGTAGCACGTGCCTGTAATTCCAGCTACTCGGCAGGCTGAGGCGGAAGGATCGCCGGAGCCCAGCAGGTCGAGGCTGTGGTGGCCGGGAGCGGCCACTGCACTCCAGTCTGGGCGACAGAGCGAGACTCCCAACTCAAAAAAAAAAAAAAAAAGGCAGACCAGTAATGGTCACTGGGGCGGGAGAGCAGCACCCGAGAGGACTGAAGTAAGCAGGGTTCTCCCCGAGCTCCTGCTACCTCTCACTTCCCCCCACCTCAAGCACACCCAGTCTCCTTTCCTTCAGTTTGCTCCTTCCCTTTTCCTACTATCTCTTAAAAGGTGAGTCTCTGGGCCTGGCAGGAATCTTGTGATTCCCCCAGAATTCTGCCCAGGAAGAATATGCTCATGTAATAAGTACTATAGTTGTTAGAGAAAGCTGCTGCCAAGCTTACAAATGGAGACTTCGAAATTATATGTTCTTTCCATAAAGGATTTTGTTCCTCCAAAACATTTTCACTCATCAGGTGTTTGGGATGGAGACTTAGGAACTTTGATAAAAGAAAACTTAATCACTTATATCCTGACCAAGTCTACTTCCGACATTCTATGTCAAGGAAAGGCAGGTCCAAATAAGAAGCAAGAGCAAGTAACAGATGTAGCATGAGCAAGAATCAGAGAAATGGGGTTGAATCTTCTCCATACGGCTTGGTTTAAGTTTGTGTCACTCACTTATCTATCCTTGAGGGGGGATACTGTTCTAAGAGGGAGTTTTGTTTTGCTTTGTTCAGCTCAACCTAAAGCTCTATCTTCTAGCACAACAGAGAAAACATTTCCTCCTATTTTTCCAAGCCATAAGCACACTTCTCATTCTTAGGGAAGGATTGAGCTAGAGGAAAATGCTGAGTTGAAATTAGCCAAGAGAGAGTATTGATCATCATACATCAACTATTTTATTTCTTTTCTAAATAATGATGATAATAATAACCACAACAACGAACACATAACACTTTGCTTATTATTATTAGGAAAGGTAATTACATCATTGATCAAGTATAATATATGAATGCTTACTGTGTCCAAGGCACTGTGACAAGAACTTTATATATACTTTCGTAATTTTCATAACAATTCAAAGATCTAGGGATATTAATACTTTTAAGATCAGGAAACAAACTTATAGAAGTTAAATAAATTGCCAAAGGTCACACAGCTAATAAGTTGAGAAACTCTGTGTTCAACATGTCTTTCTGATTCTAAAATTAGTTTTCTTAGCCATTGAACTATGTTATCCCCTTCTTTTCTTGGCCATCATTACACTTTTTTCACATTTCTTCCATCTATATAATTTGTAATCAACATAAAATTATCAAGACAAGATGAAAGTCACGCACTTCCTCCTTTAGATCCACATCTGTGTATAGCCAACTGAAAAATAGAAGCTTGGATATGGCAACTCTGTTAAATATAATTTTAATAGTAACCAAGTTGATTTTTGATGTAGCAGCAACTTCTGCAGTTTTCTTGAAAAAAATATTTTCACAAAACATTAACCCTGTTATTGCAAGAAAAAACTGAGAATTGGGCCAGATCAAGCATATTTGGATTTGAAGAGTCCTATTTGTAGCAGTCACTTCATTTTACATAGCATTGCAGATCTGTGACAATTCACAAGTAGAACACAGAAAAAATTCCACACACCTCGTTTGCAATATGGCATATAGTAGATTATAGTACAGAAATATTCCTTGTGACAGTAAAGCTGAGACACTTGGGGAATTGAATACAAATGACAATCATTTCATGAGAAAATTTAAATCAACGCCAAAAGACTGATGGTTTAGAAACATTTACAAATTATAAATAATATTTAAACATAAGAATTAATAAGTGACTAATACAAGAACTGATACAGGTAGTAAACAAATTTATTTCAACAGGAAAGTGTGCAAATATACAATAATAATAATGACATATATGCTAATAGTCTGATTTTTTTTTTTTTTGCTGTGTTTATATTGAAGTCTCTATCAGAATCAATTATAATACTGTCAATTCCTTGAATATGCCTTCAGGTTCCATTCTCTGAGAGGCATTCAGCACAATTCTATGTGTTTTCACAATTTTATCACTGGAGTTTCCCTTAGACCAATTAAGATTTTTCAAAATCTTAATTAAGTTAACAAGAGTCTCTTTAAAATCTAAAAGTCTCAAGTCCACATTTCTTAGTGCTATTTCTGTAGCACTTTCTTTCAGTTCCTGTCTTATTTGGTTTGATAAGTAGATCAGTGTCCTTTTTTTCTTCCTTATTTAAGATTATTATTTTGTTGTTGTTTTACTGGGAGCAAAGTAATATGAATAAGCAAATGCCATATTCTAGTAGCTATGTAAATTTTTTTTAAACGAATTACTTTTTCATTTGATTGTCATAAAATGGCTCAAGGAAGATATTATTATTACCTTATTAGAGAGGAAAAAACTTGAAACTCTTATAGTTTTTAACTTTTATAGTTGGAACTCTTTTTTTTTTTTTTTGAGATGGAATCTCACTCTATCATCCAGACTGAGTGCAGTGGCACGCTCCTGGCCACCGCAGCCTTGACCTGCTGGGTTCCAGCGATCCTTCTGCCTCAGCCTTCCAAGTAGTTGGAACTATAGGTATGTGTCACCATGCTCGGCTAATTTTTTTAATTTATTGTAGAGATAAGGTCTCGCCAAGTTGCCTGGGTGGGTCTCGAACCCGTGGGCTCAGACAATGGACTTGCCTTGGCCTTCCAAAGTGCTGGGATTACAGGCTGAGCCACCGAGCCCAGCCATAGTTGGAACTCATATAGCTCCAACTCTGTGTTCTGTTCTTCCCAATATGCAGTGCTCTCCCAGACTATGTATACATTGTTATAGCAGATAAATAATTGTGGTTTTTGTCTGAACTATAACTGTTATTTTATATCTCTCCATTTTATTTTGAGAAGAAAAATCTTTGAGGTCACATCAGAATCAAAATAGGTAGAGTGAATATTAAGGCTAAGAATCTGTCTCTCTCATGTTTTCTCCCTATGACCTTTGAGTAGTAAGAACATGTCTATACAGTCATGTGCCACATAATGTTTACATCAACAATGCACTACATATATGACAGTGGTTCCTTAAGATTATAATGGAGATGAAAAATTGTATTGCTTAGCCATTGCATTGTTGCAGCCCAATGTATTACCTTTTTTTTGGTTTATATATGTTTAGATACACAAATATCGCTGTGTTACAGCTTTGTACAGTATTCAGTACAGTATGCCATACAGGTTTGTAGTCTAGGAGCCAAACATTATGCCACGTAGCATAGATATGTAGTGGGTTGTTACCATCTAGGTTTGTGTAAGTACAGTCTGATATTTGCACAAGACAAAATCGTCTAAGGATGCATTTCTAAAAACACATCCCTGTTGTTAAGTGACACATGATTGTATATAGCACATTTACATGTATAAATGTTCTATCTATATGAAGAAAAAGCATTTCATAGTGAGCACACAAAAGTGATTTTTGATTTTATGAAATAGCATTAAAATAGAGTTATTCTAGGCAAGCGTGATAGTGCCTGCCTGTAGTTCCAGCTACTTGCAAGACTGAGGCAGAAGGATTGTCTGCACCAGCCTGGGGGACAGAGTGAGACTACAACTCAAAAATAAAAAATAAATAAAATAAAATAGAGTTATTTAAATGTATCTCATCAACATTTTTCAACTTTAAAATCATTAGTGTAAAACACATGTGTTCACTACAAGTTCTTTAGTTAACTTATTCTGTGGAATGTTGCATTTTTTTTGACATATCTTATGGGAATATCTGAAACACAAGACTGTCAACTCCATCCTTATTGTTCAGGTGAAAAAAAAAAGTGAGGTCATTCTTGACATTTCTCTTTTTCTTATCCTCTATATTCAGTCTTCTAATATATACTGTCTGTCTGACTTTTTAAATGTGTTAGGAATCCTACCATTTCTCACCACATCAGTTACCATTACCACTGGTGTCAAAGCTATCATCATCTCTAATGTGAAAATTTGTAATAGTCTCTTCTCCTGGCTTCTGCCTTTTCCCTATACTAGTATATTCTGAACACAATAGTCAGAGGGGATTCTCTTAAAACATAAGTCATATACTACCTCTTCTTTATTCAAAATCAAAAATCAATGTGTTTCGATCTTACTTTAGAATAAAAGTCCAAGTTCTAAATATGGTCTTTCCAACCCAGCAAGATCTGGCCCCCTGGCTTATTTGAGCTCTTCACCTAATAGTCTTTCGCTTCATTATTCTGCTGTAGCCACACTAACCACCTCGCTGTGTCTGAAGTACATCAGGCACAGTTATTTCCGAACTTTTGCACCTGCCCTTCTTTCTACCCAGAACACTCTATTCCTCAGTATCTATATGACTAACACCTTCACTTTCTTCAAAAGTTTATTCAAATATCCTTGTATTCCCTAACTACCACTTTATAATTATAGGGACCTCTCATCCCAACCCATCCATCCCTTTTCTTTGACATGTATTTTCTCCATAGCACTTAGCACCATCTGACCATTCTGTACTTTATTCACTCTCTTTTCTAAAACCAAAATATCAAGTGCATGAAGGAAGTAATTTTTAAATTTTTTTCACTGTTGTGTTCCTAGCACCTTCCATAGGCATGGTATGTAGTTATTTCTCAACAATTATTTGCACTATAAATACACG